AGAATTGAACACAAATAAACAAATAAAGAACTCAAAATATGAGCAATTATTAAAGTAAGTTCATAATATTATTCCTTTATTTTTTAAGGCCAGGACAACCGAAAATAATGTGTGGATAAATTGATTTTCTTTCAATTCGTTAAAAAATGTATTGTGGGACTTGTGGCCAACAACATAAGAATTTGGTTTCATAAAATAAAATATTTTTTGCCTTTTGTAGCAAAAAAATGCATTCTGGTTAAGTTAAATCTTATTTTTTAAGGGCTCTATTAAAAAGTAAAAGATTAAAAAACTAATTTTTAACTAAACTGTATATTATACTCCCAAAGCACTCCTAATGCATTTCCAATGCACTCCTAATGCATTTCCAATGCACTCCCAATGCATTTCCAATGCACTCCCAATACACTTCGAATGAACTCCCAATGCACTCCCAATACACTGCACCTAATGCACTCCCAATACACTTCCAATGCACTCCAAATGCACTCCCAATACACTCCCAATGAACTCACAATGCGCTCCCAAAGCACTCCCGATGCACCATTGATATGATAACCTGGGGATACGTGCAATTTGTCAATTTTATAGGTTATCTTTTTAGTGTAATTTTTGTAATTAAATAAAATAAAATTTTTATTGGTATTAAAAACTTTATGCGTAATACCTAGATTTATAATTAATTCCTGCTCTAGCAATCAGAGCTGGGTAATTACATGTACTTTAAAAATAATTACAATTACAAAGTACATGTTGAAAAAATAGGAATTATATTGTTTTAATTACAATTACATGAAAAAAGGAATTATCAATTACTTTTATAGTTACTTTTTTAATTGCTTTGCGGATAAAACAACAAATTATGAAAGAATTGAGGAACCATGAACCAACCGGACCGGCAAGACTAAAATTGTTAAATAAGTAATTCAAAGTGTTCAACCCAAGAATATGTCATTCTCGGGTTCAACTATAACAGCCGTTAGCAGCGACTTTCGTAATTATTTCTTAAAGTTAAAGATATCTTAAGGGCGGGTTGTATAAAACTTACTTAAAGTTAAACTCGGTTTGAGGTGACACATGACAAATTTTGTATGGCAATAGGTACAGTCCAAACACCATTTAGCACTTAGGGCTTGTTTTCCTAAACATTAGACTGTACCTATAGAATCGGAAATTGAAATGTATAACCTAAAACTGAGCTTAACTTTAAGTAAGCTTTATGCAATCAGCCCTAAGCGAATTGTCTTCTATGCCATTTAAGGTCTCCTTAAGGGAAAATACAACATTCATAACAAGTAGCATAAAAAATGGAACAAAGAAGTTAATAATAAAATGTGAGCTTTTAAAATTTCATTGTTTCGGACCAAAAACATAAAGTTCGTGAACCTAGGCCTAGATAGTTTTATATTATAATCATACCATACAAATCGGGCATCATTAGTCTGTGGCCGTTTAATCAACCCATAAAATCTGCGGTATGCATCACTTCATACTATATTTCCTTAGTTTTTAATGTTTATGTAAGATACATTGTTTATAATAATATAAATACAAAATGCGTCTTAAATATAAGGGTACCTACATCTACTTACCTCTTACTGTTAATATTTTGGGTTCAAAAATTTCACTACTTCACTGAGGCCCTTTCCACGGCACAGCGCTTTCGCCAAATGCATTCAATCAAATGAGAAATAAGATGGATGCGAGGTCGAGCTCTAGTGACCCGTTCGAACAGGAAATTTCTCGTTTTCATACCACGTGCATATCGAAAACATGTATTTAAAAGTAATTGTAATTACAAAATGTAATAATTTAAATAATAAATTTTGCTGCAATTACAATTCCAAATTACTTAAAAAAAGTACCGAGAAAAGTACTTAAATACAATTACAGAAGTAATTATAATTATTAATTACTTTTTAACTAGGAATTAGCCAGCTCTGCTAGCAATGCTCATTTAAGTAATAAATTGACTGGACTAACCTTTTATAGGTTAGTATAAAAATTATAAATATTGAACAGGACAGTATTATAACCGGTTTGTATAAAATGTGTAAAAGTATGCTTTAAAAAATACAAAAAATATACATCAAATTTTGGACCTATTTTGTAATAATACTTTTTCATACGAAATAATATTAACAGATTTCCGAAAAAGGCTTAAAAACGAAACACGTGGTTATAATTTGTATACCGGCATAACTGAACATTACCAATTCAGCTCGCAATTCAGCGTTATATGTTCCAAGAATTTTCCTTGGGACTTTTGCTCTATTGAGGGACTTTAATTGAATAATTTTGTAAAAAAATACATTCATATTTAGTCTGTATAAAAACTTACGAGGTTTTATGGTATTATTATTTAGTTGAAAATTAAAATTTTAAGACAAAATAATCTTATAATTTTTTTTAGAAAAATCGATATTTTCGATTAATCGATTATTTTCGATTAATCGATATTTTTTACTAATCAATTATTTTCGACTTTTCACTATTTTATTATTAATTAAACTAATCTAATATCCCATTAATCGAATAATTGATTTGAAGCGAAATACAGAGAAAATTGATTTTCTTTCAGTTCGTTAAAAAATGTATTGTAAGACTTTTGGGCAACAACCTGTAAGAATTTGGTTTCATAATGTAAAATATTTTTTGCCTTTTTGTAGCCAAAAAATGCATTCTGGTTAAGTTAAATTTTATTTTAAGTTATTTTTTAAGGGCTCTATTAAAAAGTAAAAGATAAAAAACTAATTTTTAACTAAACTGTATATTATACTTCCAATGCACTCCTAATGCACTTCCAATGAACTCCAAATACACTTCCAATGTACTTCCAATACACTCCCAATGCTCTCCCAGTGCACCTAGTGCACTTCCAATGCACTCCCAATACACTTCCTTTGCACTTCCAATGCACTCCTAATGCACTCCCAATACACTCTCAACGTACTCCCAATGCACTCCCAGTGCACTCCTAATGCACTTCCAATGCACTCCCAATACACTTCCAATGCACTCCCAATACACTCTCAATGCACTAACAATTAATAATAATAAAACGTCTTTACTGTAACAAATAAGATTACATGAGGAGCGAGATTTAGCATAGCTATTCTTACATCTAACCCCATTTTTTTTTTTTTTTGAATGTACAACACACACTTACATTGAAACTAACTTAAGTATATTAATAATTGTTCATATTTTGAGTTCTTTATTTGTTAACTAATTTCCTTTGGGTCAACAAACGAAAATAAGTCCTGAGAAAACGAAAATAAGTCCTGGACAAACGAAAATAATGTGTGGACGAACATCCAATAGTTAGTTTTATTCGAGATTTTAATACATTGTTATTTGAAGTACTTAGGTTTAATTGTTTATGTATTGGGTACTTTATTTTGTTAGTATCTAATTTCTTTTGGTCGGACAAACAAAAATAAGACTTGGACAAACAAAAATAAGACTTGGACAAACAAAAATAAGACTTGGACAAACGAAAATAATGAATGGACACACGATAGACGTATTAATTTCGAATGAACTGTTTTTAAGGGCGAATTATTATTTTTTCTTTTTTAAATATCTCGGTTTTGAGGGGTGGACAAATAATAGACAATCGAATGCCACTTTGAAATTATTGAAAAGGTTTTTTGTGGGTGCTTATGTTAAATTTTATTGAAAATTTTTAATTTTGTCATAATTGGGTAGACAAACGAAATTTTTTATCAGACAAACGTTGACAAATCGTTGACAAATCGTGGACAAATGAATATCAACTTCGTTTTATAAAAATTCGCATTTGGTGGTGCTACTCAACGAACCTCTATTGAAGGTCCTTTAACTGCATCATGGCAAAGTTGCTCTGTGATGTTAAAATCCCTGTAACTGTTATTGACGGGAAAATTACTGGTGCCCGATTGTCGGCCGTAGTGAACTATATATAACGGCCTTCTGTAGGTAAAAGTTAAAAATCTATTATTATACTATTTGGTATTGTTATAATGAGACCCTCGCTTTTCTCATTACAATTCAAATATATTTAAAAATACAGGGTAGGTATTCGATTAAAAAAAAAACTAACTTTGATATGTTTTACTTTCTTGTAGAACCCTGTATACCTAATTGAAATTATTTTTAAATTGTCGCGTTTTCTGATATACAGTAATACAGTATCCTGTGATAACAGTTCAAAACAAAAAAATTAGTTTTGGCTCTACAGAGGCGCTACCGGTGGCCCACCCTGTATACGTAAAACACATTTTTTTAATTATGGATTTAAATCTTATCTAATGATGTTGTTTTAAATAAGTTGGGCAAGAAAACACTGCATGTAATTTTAGTTTGCACTAGATATTATTGTAGGTACCTACCTGTGTATTGTGTAAGCAAAATATGTATAAATAAATAACTGAGCGTTTTATTCATGCATTTAAAAATATATCGTAAAATTTTCAAGCTATATTTGATAAAGATAACGATAATCAAAGATAAACAAATGATGAAAAATAACTACTTAGATAAATGAAATGACTTAAATAGATAATTTCGTAAAAAAAACAATATAAAATGTTAATTAAGTACCTACGTGCATAATTTTTAATTTCTATAGGTATTCGTAAATATTATTTTAAAATATGTGGAATTTCCGCATCATGTAAAAATAGAATCATCCTTGTTTTCGAATAAAATGCATTACGATTACGATAACAGTAGGTATCAATAGGAATGGCCGCTCCATAAGAATGATTACAGTTGCTACAAAGACCAAGGCTTCATTTACATTGGAAATAGTTAAAAAAAAAGAAAATAGCTACTCATTAGCAATTAAATAACGACCGTAATTACAAATCTAAATAATATTTAAGATTATTGTGTTATCGTCGTTTATTTTTATTGGATAATAGCTTTTGTTCGCGAATACCCACTTCCGAGACACGATAGGTACGAAACATTCATCGATTAAAAAGGATAAACAAAACAAATAATGAAATTCTTACCTCTCCATGATCCAAACGTCCTTCTGGCGTATTTTCCGGCAAAAAATAAAGTCTGAGGCTAGCTAACACTTGTTCACTATTTTTATCAATCCAAAGTAATTGCAATTCACCGATGCACAATAAATCACTGTCTCGCCACATTTTAACAAAGAAAAATTCACTTAAAGTTACTATTCTCCAAATTCCGTTTTTGTTATATTTAAAGGCCTTGTAAAACGTATACGGTCCATGTTGTCCACAAGGACCACCAACTAACTGTAAAAAAAATAATATTTACATATCGATATCATTTTAGTAAATCAATTGTGTATTGTTAACAGTAACTCCTATTTTAATGATTACAACTGAAATGGGCGACTGCTATCTGTCAACGATAAAAGATAAATTGCAATTAAAAAAAGCTGTCAATAAAATTAATTGATATGTACCTATAAAAAGGGAAGCTCATTTAAATACCTTCAAATTAGCTATCCTACAAAATATGTTTTGATAATTTCAACAATAATTATGATACAATAACAATAACAAATTGATTTTCTTTAAAAAATATAATTATTTATTTAAATAGACATTATTATAATTTAAAAATTTAATTCATTTTTAAAAAACATAACAACAAACTATCTTATCGTCATCACAATAAAAAAACAGCGATTAAAAACGTCTTAATTAACAAAACTTTTTAAGCCGATGAAGTAAACGGGTTTAACTTAATAATAGCTTCGGAATTAATTAATATTTATAGAAAGTCATAATAATAAACTGACAATATCTACGCTTCTAGGGCAGCTAAAATTATGAAAACTTCACTAAAATATTCCAAATGCATTTAAACGAAAACTAGAATAATTTCATACCTGTACATCAGCATTACCCATATTTTTTTCCCAATTAATCACAGAGCACATTACAAACACCACGCTGACACGGCCATCTACTTTGTATTTACTCTAATTATATGACGTCACGATACAGAACTACAGTCGTAGATATTCGTAATATTTCGGCGGTTGCTCGGGTAAGCTGGCGCTTTAAGTTTGCGGAGAGGAGATGTATTTTCTATGTATTTCTTCGTAACAGAAACAGGCAGAAACGCAGATAAAGTGAACGGAGGCAAAAGGAGATTAAAAATTGTTGGATTAGTGCATTTATTTTGAAAGTGAAACTGTGAAGTTGCGTATTATTGATGGAACTAGGAGTCATGGGTCGCGAGAAAACAAATAGGTAAATAACCTTTTATTATAAATTTAATAAGGTAAATTTTCAGTAGACATTTTGTAGGTATGTAGGTATTTATTTGCAGAAATCTGTACTCAAACTAAGCGTTTTCGTTTTTATAGATTATGTAGGTAAATACCCAATACAGTTGATAAAGTAACTTGCTGGTTAGTAATTCTGTGATTGTGATTAATATTAATTCAAACAATCAATATAGGTAATTAAAGATCGACTAAACTATTAAAAGGTATTTAATCTTTTCTTTTAGATAATGCATTAATAAACAATTACTTATTTTCAAGATTAAAAGCTTCAAATAAATATTGTCTTTTTAAAAAGCCAATAAATTTTAAAATTTCAAAACGCTGAATAACACTCAGTATAGTAGGTATATAAGTTACACTTTTTACACGATCAGTAAATATCAAACGAGGCATAAGCCGAGTGCGACATTCACACGAGTGTAAAATAGTAGGTATATTATGTTACGGGTGTGAAAAATCATTTTCACATAAGTGATGTAGGTACAATATTTTTCCTACGACCACAAAATAATTTTATCACTGAAAATTTTATTTCAAGAAATCTGACTAGGTATAAAGGTTTCATCAAGATGTGACTGGTTTTAGATGCCTTATTAAATAATTTTTAATGTGTTTTACAGATGGTATTTTGACAAAATTAAAAACATTATGATTCCATTTAGGTACAACCAATTTTCATAGGATGATAAAGATAAAATAACATTTTTCATATGTTTATTATTTTTTAAACATATAAGATGAACAACCGTGAACAAAAATTTCGTTTTATTTTTAATGATTAGGTATCCACTTACACAATTTTTTTCTGAACAATAATTAAAATAGAACAAAAAATAGCGAAAATAATATCTGTATGGGTTATATTATGATAAATAACATACCTATATTAAAAAACAAGATAGTCGTATTTTTCCAATTTTCATATTTTTTCAAAATAAAAAAATTAAACAAATTTAAAAAAATATAATTAATCGGGAATTGAACCAGAGTCGCGAAATGACAAGTTGAAAAAGTTAGGACACTATACGATCTGCACTATTACGGTTATATCTGTCATTTGACTTATCTGATTAAATATGTATATGAACCAGGAAAAAGCAAAAATAATATAGGTATAGTATAAGCAAGAGATATAGTGCGACTTTAAATCTTTAAAGTCAGCCGACAACATACAAAAAAAAAACAAAGGAGACTGATAAAATAGTAGAGGAGCATTCAAGAGATTGAATATACTTATTTTATTTTTACTTCTCTCGATAAATGGGAAGTATTTTAATCGTGAAAATTTAGATTTTAACGTTTTCGGGTCCTTAGATTACGAAAAACATGTTTTCTCCCTTACGGTCTGTCTGTCGTCTGTTGTTTGCCCTCTGTCTCTTGGCGCGATAGCTCAAAAACGGCTTAAGAGAAAAACTTCAAATTTTGTATGCAGGTAAGGCTTCCCCTTGGCTCAAAACTGGTTATACTTCCGGTCAGATATATACATGGTGAACAGTTAAAAAAAAAACAATTATTTTTAAAAGTTAGCAGATTTCGACTAAAATTGGTTCTTGATAAAATTGATCATAAGTGATCATAAATTACTTTTTAAAAATTCAAAATGGCTTCTCTGATCTTATAATTTACACAGGATATTTTTTAATGGTATGCTAATATTGTAGGGTGTGATTCCTCAGGTCATTTTATGATGAAAATTTCATATGAACATATGTCCGCAACGGCATAATTTTTTTGATGAGTAAGTACTTTTATTATTTTTAATTTTGGTATGTGTTAATAGGATATAAAACCACGTACTTTAGATTAAAAAATTATTCTATTGCTTCACCAGTGGCGTTTATCTTATCGTTCATTAATTAAATTAATTTTTTTTCATTTTGCAGTATTGACGATTAATTTTAATTATTTTAATCTAGAACCGAGCGGCTGGCGAGAAAAATACAAGATGCTGTATTGATGTAGAATTGACCAGTCAAATGAGTAAAAATATCTACATGGAAAAATGTCAGTGGCGTACTACTTTTTCTGTAGAAAATATCAGATGACATGTTTGCAGAGACGCCACTGGTAGAGCAATAAAATAAATTTTCTATCTATAAAATGTGGTTCTATACTCTATTAACACATGCCAAAATTTAAAATTATATCTAAACTATTTTCAGAGATATTACAAAATATCTCTTTAAGAAACAAATTTTCAACTCCATGAAGCAAAAAATTGAAGCCGTTGCGGGCATATGTTCATATGAACTTTTCTTCATAGAATGACCTGAGGAATCACACCCTACAATATTAGCATACCATTAAAAAACATCCTGTATAAATTGTAAAAACGGGAAAGCCATTTTGAATTTTTAAAAAGTATTTTTTGATCTGTTATCTTTGATCAGATACCAACTTTATCAGAAACCAATTTTAGTCGGAATCTGCTGACTTTTAAAAATAAATGTTTTTTTACTGACCTGTAGTATAACCGGTTTTGAGCCAAGAGGAAGCCTTACTTACCCGCATACAAATTTGAAAGAAATTTTCAAATTCAAATACCAGCCCGAGAATCCTGGAAACAGGGACCTCCCGTACAGGCTGAACTCGTCTGGTACACAGACGGTTTAAAAACCAAGGAAGGAGCCGGTGCTGGAATCTATGGACCCAAGTCGAAAACAACGATTTCACTAAGTTTAGGAAAATATGCAACAGTGTTCCAGGCTGAACTAATAGCCATACAACACTCTGCAAGAGAAATATTAAATCCGCAAGTATCAGGCAAAACTATTGCCATATACTCTGATAGCCAAGCAGCTCTAAAGGCACTTCTCTCACCAGAAATCAAATCACGACTGGTGAAAGACTGTCTAGAAGACCTGGCAGAGCTAATTAGTCAAAATAAGGTGACCCTAGCCTGGGTTCCAGGTCATGAAGGATATCAAGGCAACGAAAAGGCCGACGAATTAGCCCGAGAAGGCTCAGATAAGGCCATGACAGGCCCCGGGCCCTTCTGTTGCTAAGGTATTGTGCAAGACACCCATTACACAATGGTTGCAAAAAGAGTCTCAGGAATGGTGGAACAACTATCCAAGACTGAGGCAGGCCAAACAGTTCATTAAGGAACCATCGGCCAAGTTCACGAAAGACCTACTGGATCAAAAGCGTCAAATCGTTAGGATAACAGTAGGCCTTCTTACTGGACACTGTCGCCTCAGAAGGCACATGAGTGTCACAAATCCAGCAGAAGATGCAACTTTATGCAGGTAAAACAAGGAAATCTGGCTATAAAAGGTTCAATCCGAGGTTCAATCAAAATGTGGCTGATTTTAGATTTGATTTTTATATGCATTATTGAATAATGTTTAAAATGTTTGGGTGTTGGCCACTTGGTCGCCGCGGTTAGTTTTGTCAGCGGGGTTCCGTAATCTCATCGACCACTTGGTCTCCAGTTTTAAAATCAGGTAGGCCTCTTGGTCGCCGTAGTTATCAATCATTAAAGGTATCTATTTCGATTTATTGAAAATAATATTTTTAAGAAAAAAATAGTTTAACTGATTTTTATTATTTTCCACGTGAATAGAAATTTTTAACTGATATGATATGGTACAGAATGTGGGTCAGGAAAAGAATAAAACCAAATTAAAAAAACACTTATAATTAATAGAAAACAATATAAAATTATACATAATAAAAAAAAGTAGGAACAAAATACACAAAATACCAAATAAAAATTATTTAAGAAACCCAAATTGCAATTAGTTTTTGTAATGATAAGAAACTACTTTGATAAATTGAGTTCGTGAAAGGATCTTATTTTTATATTGTTCTATTACGTTCGTTAAATACGCATGCCGTTTTTTGTAATTAGCGTTTTTAATTTTGTTAGGTATATGTGTACTGTTTAATTTCACATAAGTATTTAACTGAATATCGAGAATTACATTAACAAATTTGAATATATCGGGATGCGCCGAATAAAAAGCAGAATTAAAATGTTTGTGGAAAGACTCACAAGCATTTGTTGTGCGTTCTGTGGAACTTGTGCACGATGCCCACATTGTAGGCGGGAAGTCAGACGTATCGCTAGTATACGTATTAATCATATAAAGAGTATATGAAGTTAATCTCTCGTCAAATGGCATTATTGGAATTAAATCTTTACAAAAACACTCTGCCACTTCAGTACTTTCCAAAAATAAAATGCCGAAAGTGTAATGAAGCCATTTGCCGATTTCAGAATTTTCATTTTTATATTCGGAAATCAAACCCAGATTTTGTATCTTACGTAACCACGATTGGGTTAAATGAAATCTACATCCAATAATTAAGATATCAGGCCAAATCTGTATAATACCAGTGTGTATGGCTTTCTCAAAATCGCAAATAACTTTACACAGCTTCCAATCTAAATTTAAATTATTATAACAGTAATCTTTTAATAATTTAAATGCAGTTGCATAGGTACTTGCTCTTTTATCTGGTAAAACAAAAAATGCCAATGGTATGTAGTGTCCGTTATCAACAGCATGTATAGTGAAAAATTGTAAAAAAAAATTAGGGCAATAATTAAATGTGCCGTCGCAATAAATACTATCACGAGAACACAAGTATTTTAAATTTGAATCACATGAAAATAAAATAATTTGTGAATCTTCATTGTTAAATAATAAAAATTGTTCACCCTTA